TTTTTTTTTTTTTTTTTTTTTTTTTTTTTTTTTTTTTTTTGCCTCATATTGGAGGCAGCATGTCTTAAATTGCATTATTTTGCAAAGGGCGAAAATACGTTGCTTCTGTGTGTTGAATATTTCAGTGAGGAAAGATGCCTTTCTCCGTGCCGGAAAGTTTGATGCTGCAGTGTGCTTCCAGGAAAAGTTCCCACTGAAGAACACTTGACCTTTGTCAGAGGGACTGGACCTTTCCGATGCAAATACGCCTGAAAATCAAGCTTACACAAAAGATAGGGCAGGCAGGGAAAAAGCCTATAAAATGTAACTCCTCCTCCTTCCTATAGAATACTTCGCTGGGCTCCTTCCCCAGGATGAGCCAGAGCACACGGGCGGAACTGCTGAAAAGGCACTGAGGTCACTGATCCGTATAGAGAGTACGTGTGGAATACACCAGTGGGAAGTACCGTAGGTGATCTCGGGCAACTAAAGAATACTCATAAAAAGGTTTAAGTGGTACCCTGCATTTTCTGCAGGCTGTGGTCAGGTGAAACGGGTGACCTCGGCAGCAGGAGGGAGCACTCAGCCATGAACATGTTCCGAGTGCAGGTCCATGCAGCAAGCACTAGTTAGGGGCAAAATTGTTGTGCTCTTGGGGAGATTAAAGGGAGTTTTCAGTTTATAGGGTTTTGCAGTTCATCACCAGATGCCTTCTTTGTGCCAAGTAAGGGTCAGGTTTTACCTATTTCTTCATAGCTGCCTGATCTTAAAATACCTGCAGTAGGGATGGCTGGAAGGGCAGACTAACACCAGTCCTTACTGAGCAGGTACCAGACTTCCAGTGGCCTAGCTTAAGGCAGAAGCTGTTGGAAGGACCAGTCTCATAGTGCCCAGTCATCATGGGCCAGCTTTATTCCATGTGAATTTCACTATGTGCTTTGAGATGCCTCACAAGAGAGAAAGGTAAGCAGGCTCCCTAAGGACTGAGTCACTCCCTAGAAATGCTTATTTCTCTTTGTCTGATAAAATACCTTTAAATTAGCCCCCTTACATAGATGTGATTCATCTAGGTTGATAACTTTTTCTTAGAACAGTTATTGCTCCAGAAATAGTTTGTCCTTTTTTGTATTATTTTCTGTTATTCTTAAATTGTATTTTTCCTTCGCTCTTGCTATCTTCCTCTATATTACTTCTATATTCCTCAGCAAAGACCCTTTGAGAATAGCTGTTTCCATCACCCCTAAGCAACCAACAACCAGACTTTTCCTGCCGTCATTTTCCATTTCTGATGCTACTGCTCTGCCTTTTCCACTGCAACTAAGCTAATAAAAGAGTAGGTCATGTGACAAGTGCCTTAAATTCACTCAGTGCAAGGCAAGCTGCAGGCATTCAGTGTCTTGCAAAATCAAGACCATAATATATCCTGTCTATGACCTCCAATAGCACATCCCTTAATTTGCTTTATTTTTCTTTCGCAAATGGAAACATACATATAGATCACATTTTCTCTTGTATCCCAGCACATAGAGGCTCTGAATAGAGAAAAGAAGTGAGCTGGCCAAAATTAAAATATTAACAATTTTGAAACTACAGAAAAGGTTAATTCTAAAGATTCTTAATTAAAAAAAAAAAAAAAAAAAAAAAAAAAAAAAAAACCCCTGGAATTTTATCTGAAAACTTTAAGTATTGTCCTTTTTTTTTTTTTTTCCCCCTCCATTTTGGCCATATTTAAAGTATTTCTCTTCCCACCCTTTTTAAAATAAAAAAGCACAGAAAATCACAGGGAAAAATGTGGAGGAAGAGGATTAAAAAAGCTCTGGAAACCAATCATATTAATTCATTTCATCAAAATCGACCCTATTTCTGTATGCTTCCTTTTCAAAGCAAGGTTCAGTCTCCATAAAAATGAATTCAATAATTTAACAATTTCTAACCAGTACTTTGCTACATTAAAATGAAATTCACCGAACATTAACAGCATTTCAAGAAAATAATTTTTCAATGAATTTTTGAAACATATATCAAAATGCCCTCATCATGAAGGAGATGGTTTACACATCTCTTTCCTGAACTGAGTAGATTTAGAAAGTGGGCACTACAAAAAGCGCACATAGCAAGTCAGCCTGAAGGTAGAGTAGGTCAAAGAACAAGATTTTGGTCATGTTCTACCCGAGCCACAGATGGGGCTTATTATGACAATAAAATTTTTCCAGTAATTTGAGATCTTACATGTAAACACATGAAAGATTTGTTTTAAATATAAATAACTTGGTAGGAGAAAAAAAAATTGTCATCTATAAGCAGATTTATCAAACCATTTAAAGAGTATAATGAAGAAATATGTGTTTTCCAATATGTCATCTTACCTAAGTCATGAGGGGAAAAATGGAGCCACTAATGCAGTTAGATGCAACATACTGATGGCACAGTGTAATTTATTTATTGTGCACGTGCACTTTTCCCTCAATAAAACAGTAGGGGTGTCTGACTAAATCCATTATGTAAATCTCAGCATCTTTTCACTTGCACTTGCAAACTATTTTTTTTTCATGCTTTTATAGTCATTTTTGCCTAAACTTCATACAATTAAAATCCAAGCACCCTGCAATTCTATAAGCACTACAATTAGGCACCTGATTTGAAATAAAACACAAATAAGACACAAAGATGTGTGTGTAGGTGTTTGCTATCAGAGATGCTAAGTCACATTCAGAATGAAACTGTTTAAAACCAGCAATAGGTCAGGGCATTCTGGAACAAAAATGGAACACGGGGATAAAATGAAACAAAATAAATACTAGATGATGAGTAAGGAAATAACTGTATTAAGATCAATGTTATTATTTGACTTTCTCTAGAGTGGTTTAAGACTCCAGACAGCTCTTGTTGCTGTCTTTGACTTACAGTTACCTTGTCCTCAGCATCCTGCTCTGGGTATTCCTTCAGGACAGCTGTGCACATAGGATCAAATTTCCAAGACAGATTGTCTTATTTAGCTGTGTTGTAGCTAAAGAGATGAAAAATATGTTTGAAAGTACACATAACTAGGAATATATGTTCACATCCATTCCTCTTCAGCAGTGTTTATGTAGGTGCATATAGTTGTGCATGTCCTTGAAGATTTTGAAAACAGCTAACTATAACTTTGTCAAAAGGACCTAAATGACACCTAAATCAAAAGCAAATAAATTCAAAGTCTAGGCCCCATTTTCAGAATCAATTTAGAAACAATCCAAACACTTTAAGAGCATCAGAACAACTGCAGGTGTTCAGAATAAGCATCTTTATAGGTACATAGTATGCCTCTAGAGTGACTTAATGTGGAAGCCAAAGGAATAGTATCAGTTAGTGTTAGGCTCCCGGAGTCCTGAAATATTTTCTTCAACTCTGAGTTAATCTTTGAAGTCATTCACTGACCACAGAGCTGTGACTTAACAAGGTCCCATATGACAGCTGAGACTTAGCACTGATGCCATGCACAGTCTTTCCCTGCAAGTGGTTGGTAAAACTTCTCAGTTTAAATCTCAGTGGAAGCCACATGGAGGTTGAGGATTCACCTCAGATGTCCTGTAACTAGGTGAGTTATGGGAATGCAGTCATGTGTCTGAGTGTAATGGTGATCTTTACTTAAGCATACTTGTAGAAAATGTCAGAATTCTTGAACTAGAAAGTCCCACTATATCTGAAACAAGGGAACTGGAGAACGGAGCTCTGTTGGAAATCGGTCTGCAACTTCAGACTCTGACTAGCTGAAAAATTGGCTTCTGAGAGCAAACTAGTCATCTCTTTTATTCATCATCATAGGTCTCTAACAACATTAGGATAAATAGCCTCACAGTAGACAAGGGATAGCATCAGACCCTAATCAGAGAAATTTTTCAGTATGACAAGCCTACTCACAGAATCATAAAAAATAAAACTGGAAGGGATTTTAGGAGATCACCTAGTTTATCTATCCCCCATCCTGATGGATGTTTGTCTGACTGGTATTTTAAAACCTCCAGCTGCAGATACTCCACAGCTTCTCAGTCTGTCTCAGAGCTTCAGTATCCATGCAGTATATTTTTCTGAATGTCTGGCTGTTGTGGTTTAACCCCAGTCAGCAACTAAGCACCACACAGCCACTCACTCATTCCCCTGCCACAGTGGGATGAGGGAGAGAATCGGAAAGGTAAAAGTGAGAAAACTCATAGGTTGAGATAAAGACCATTTAATAGGTAAAGCAAAAGCAAAGCAAAACAAGGAATTCATTCACCACTTCCCATCTGCAGGCAGGAGCTCAGCCATCTCCAGGAAGGTATGGCTCCATCACACACAACAGTTACTTGGCAACACAAACACCATCACTCCAAATGTCCCCCCCTTGCTTCTTCTTTCCAAAGCTTTACATGCTGAGCATGACATCATATCATACGGATTATTACAGAATCACAGAATTATCAAGGTTGGAAAGGACCTTGAAGATCATCTAGTCCAACCATTCACCTAATACTGACAGTTCGCAACTACACCAGACCCCTCAGAGCTATGTCAACCCAACTCTTAAACATCTCCAGGAATGGGGACTCCACCACCTCCCTGGGCAGCCCATTCCAACACCCAACAACCTGTTCTGTAAAGAAATACTTCCTAATATCCAGTCTAAACCTTTCCTGGTGCAACTTGAGGCCATTACCTCTTGTCCTATCACTTATTACTTGGTTAAAGAGACTCATCCCCAGCTCTCTGCAACCTCCTTTCAGGGAGCTGTAGAGGGCGATGAGGTCTCCCCTCAGCCTCCTCTTCTCCAGACTAAACACCCCCAGTTCCCTCAGCCGCTCCCCGTACGACCTGTGCTCCAGACCCTGCACCAGCTCCGTTGCCCTTCTCTGGACACGCTCGAGTCATTCAATGTCCTTTTTGTAGTGAGGGGCCCAAAACTGAACACAGGAATCGAGGGGCGGCCTCACCAGTGCCGAGTACA